CACTGATCATTCTTGAGATGTTTCAGCAGCTTCAATGCAGTTCACCTGTGGTCAATTAAGCTGATTGGACATGATTTGAAAAGACACCTGTCTATATAAGGGCCCAGGGTTGACAGTGCATGTCAAAGCACAAACCAAGCATGAAGACAAAGGAATTGTCTGTAGACCTCAGAGACAGGATAGTCTCGAGGCACAAGGCTGGGGAAGGTTACAGAAACATTTCTGCTGCTCTGAAGTTCCAATGAGCACAGCGGCCTCCATCATCCATAAGTAAAAGATGTTTAGAACCACCAGGACTCTTCCTAGAGTTGACCGGCCATCTAAGTTGAGTGATCGGGGGAGAAGGGCCTTAGTAAGGGAGGTGATCAATAACCCACTGGTCACTCTGTCTGAGCTCCAGCGTTCTTCTTTGGAGAGAGGAGAACTTTACAGAAGGACAACCATCTGTGCAGCAATCCACAGGCCTGTATGGTTGAGTGGCCAGACAGAAGCAGCTCCCCCCTAGGGTTTTTCCAAAAGGCATCAGAAGGATTCTCAGACCATAAGAAACTAAATTCTATGGTCAGATGAGACTAAAATTGAACTCTTAATAGTGAATGCCAGGCGTTACGCTTGGAGAAAAGCAGGCACCGCTCATCACCAGGCACCATCCCTGCAGTGAAGCATGGTGGTGGCAGCATCATGCTGTGATGATGTTTTTCAGCAGCAGGAACTGGAAGAGTAGTCAGAATTGAGTAAAAGATGAATGCAGCAATGTACAGAGACATCCTGAAAGAAAACCTGCTTCAGAGTGCTCTTGACCTCAGACTGGGGCGACGGTTCATCTTCCAGCATGACAGTGACCCAAAGCACACCGCCAAATATCAATGGAGTGGCTTCATAACTCCGTGAATGTCCTTGAGTGGCCCAGCCAGAGCCCAGACCTAAATCTTATTGAAGATCCGGGGAGATCTAAAAACGGCTGTACACTGTTGCTTCCCATCCAAGAGAGGAATGGGCAAAAAATCCCAAGCACAGGTGTGCCAAGCTTGTGGCATGATATTCAAAAAGCCTTGAGGCTGTAATTGCTGCCAAATGTGCATCATCAAAATTTTGAGCAAAGGCAGTGAATACTGATGGACATGTGATTTTTAAGCTTTTTTACTTTTAATAAATTTGCAACAATTTCAAAAACAATTTTTTTTCACATTGTCAATATGAGGTATTGTGTGTAGAATTAATAAAAAAAATTAATTAAAAAAAATAAATAAATTAAATCCAGTTTGGAATAAGCCTGGATCATAAAATGTGGAAAAAGTGAAGCTCTATGAATACTTTCCGCATGCACTATACATTTAACTTATCGGTCCCACTTTATATTAAGTGTCCTTAACTACTATGTACTTACATCAAAAAATAAATACAATGTACTTACTGTGTTTATAATGTATTTGAGAACACTTGTGGTGCTTTTGAGTTGGGATAGAGGTTGGGTTATGGACAGGTTTGGTGGTATGGGTAGGTTTAAGGGTGGGTTGAGGTGTGAGGGATGGTCAACAGTGTATTTACAAATGTAATTACAAAAGTTAATTACAGATGTAATTACATACATGTATTTAATCAAGCATAAGTACACAGTAAATACATGTATTTACACGATAAGTACATTGTAACAAACTATTAGTTCCTGTGTAAGTACATATTAGTTAAGGCCACTTAATATAAAGTGGGGCCAACTTATCTGTAATGTTACAAATAAGTCATGTTTCTGCCAGCATCGATGATCACCTTGACCTGCTGGACTGTGCATCCTCAGGCCTGGTTCTTCCCATTTAACTCCACTTATAGATAGGATCCCTCTGTGCACAATTCACCATTCTATAAACATGAGCATGCAAACACCTTTAAAGACAATGTTAGCTCTCTGCCAACTGAAGAAAACTGTTTTTTTTTTTAGTCTGCGTTTACTCTGAAATTCCATGACTGATCGTAATCAACAGAGAAACAGCATTACTGGACTGCCAGATGCTCTAAAAGACACTTAAATGAGAGCGAGAGCGTAGGGGGAAAAAAATCTGCCTTTGACCAAAATGGACACATCCATGCCAGTTAAGCTCTAAGACTGGTGAAGACCTGCAGCTTTTCTTCAATTTGCCCATCGCCTCTAGACTCTTGGGTTTCTGTGATAACCTTCAGACACTTTCCTCTACTCTGCGCTAATGATACCAGTGATTAGCACATTGTCCTTTCTTTCCTGCTGCTGTGAAGGGCAAAGGAAAGACGACAAACTTCACCAAGAACAAAGCTAAGGCCGACTGATTGCTGACGGGCTTAAAGTAGCAGTTCACTCCAAACTGATAAGAAGAAAAGCTTCTATTTCAGCTTTATGACACCATACAATACCCTGTTAAAATATCTGTTAATGAATATATTGTAACTCACAAGCATTTTACTTGAAAGGAAAATCACGATGTGGCCAAGTATGGCGTGCCATACTCAGAATTTGGCATCAGCATTTAACCCATCCACAGTAGTGGCCCCAGCTTGTTTAAAATAATTGAATACACTTGGTTTTCATAAGGGAACACACTTTAATTTACTACTTATTTATTTGTTTGCCAATTAAGATCTTTTATTTTAAGTAACACCCCTAGTCCCCCATATAGCCAACCCTCATTTTTAGCAGCCATTTCTCCTGTCTATGAGGATCTTGTGCTGCATTATCCTCATAAAACCCTTCTAATGTGCTGATGTTGTACTTGAGAAGGGTATTATTAGCACATCTGAAAATAGTCGAGATGCTTAATGAAGCGTGTGTTTGCTGGTTCACTTTCTGCAGTACTGAGTAGATTCTTTTAGTACACCTTTGGATAAATTTTGGATTTAAAATGTCTGAAAACTAGAAACAGTTTGAAGTTTTCGTCCAATTACATACACTGTAGTCAGAGTAGAAGAAATGGTCCCACTTTATATTAAGTGTCCTTAACTACTATGTAATTGCATAAAAAATATAAATACAATGTACTTAATGTGTTCATAATGAATTGGAGAACACTTGAGGTGGGACATGGATAAGGTTAGAGACAGGTTTGGTGGTTATGGGTAGGTTTAAGGGTTGGGTTAAGGTGTAAGGATTGATCAACAGTGTTATTACATAAATTAATTACAGATGTAGTAACATGCATGCATTTATTAATCATAAGTACAATGTAAAAATTTGTATTTAGACAACAAATACATTGTAACGATTTATTAATTTCAGTGTAAGTACATTATAGTTATGGCCACAATATAAAGTGGGACCGAAGAAATTGATCAGTATTTAACCAGGGGTATCCAGAAACAGAAAGCAGGTTATTTGACAAACCTGGAAACTTTTGAAGAGTAAGTGGATGACCTCAGCTTTCAACCTAAAACTGAGGGTAACTTCCAGGGTATAAGTAGCATACCCTTTATATACTGTAATACAGTATAATATATCCAGTATAGTATAAAGTTGGCATCAATAACATGAAACCATGGATCTTATCAACGATTCAGGCTGGTGATGGTGTAATGGTGTGGGGGATATTTTCTTGGCACACCTTGACTCATTAGTACCAATTGAGCATCGTGTCAACACCACATCCTACCTGAGTATTGTTGCTGACCATGTCTATCCCTTTATGACCACAGTGTCTCCATCTTCTGATGGCTACTTCTAGCAGGATAATGCGCCATCTCATAAATTGTAAATCATCTCAGACTGGTTTCTCATGACAATGAGTTCACTGTACTCAAATGGCCTCCACAGTCACCAGAACTCAATCCAATAGAGCACCTTTGGGATGTGGTGGAACAGGAGATTCGCATCATGGATGTGCAGCCGACAAATCTGCAGCAACTGCGTGATGCTGTCATGTCAATATAACCCAAAATTTCTGAGGAAAATTTTCATTACCTATCCAGAATCTATGCCACGAAGGATTAAGGCAGTTCTGAAGGCAAAAGGGTTAAACCCAGTACTGGTAAAGTGTACCTAATAAAGTGGCCGGTGAGTGTATGTGTATTATAAGAACAACTTAATTATTTTTTTTTTTATAAAATAAATAAAAGTCCTGGATAATTGGAACCCATACCAATAGGAATGATAACACAAGTCTAACTCAATGACACAATGAGGTCTTGTGAAACGAAACGTTCAGTCTGTGTAAGCATTTGAACACTATTTATAATATTAATAGCTTTATTCCATGGCCTAGTCAAACAGTTCTTGGCGAATATGAATTTAGTCCTCTTGTAGTCCAGTCACTTTGATGACGAAGCTTGGTTAGGAGGTCAGGTGACGCAGTTTGTTGATAGATATTTCGTGATTGTGTCACCAGCTTTTGCTTTTCTGTCATTAAAATCAATCATTGGACCAGGAGGCCATATCAGAGCACTCACTCCAAATTGAACCAAAACAATGCATTACAACTGGCTTAAGATTGGCAACCAAAATTCGGGACATTGCAACCTGCAGACCCTGGGTAGTTAAAAAAAAAATAAATAAATAAAATTAAGTAAATAAATAAATAAAATTGATTGTTTCTCAAGACCTCAGTGTGTCATCAGGAGCCACAGCTATTGATTTGGAATCATTTGTGGTTGGTTTTAATCTAAAAACCTGTCATTATTTACTGGCATTGCGTGAATCACCAACAAATTCAGCTCAAAATCTTCTTTGACGCTCTACTGAAGAATAAGAACGTCTCCTACATCCTGAAGTACTTCTGGGTGAGTAAATGAAGAGGAAATGTTGATTTTTGTTTGAACTACCCCTTTACGAAACTATCATCTCGTCTGCACATATGGAGCCAGCATCTGTAGGTGTTTGACTGATGATGGAGGGCTTTTGGGGATGTATCAGGGCGGGTGGATAAGCCAGACTCCAGTAACAATAAGAGGATGGTCCTGTCTCTTTCCGGAGGTGTGGGGACAGGAGGACAGGAGAAGAGGTCAAGGAGAGATAGATGGGGAAGACAATAAGCAAAATATTTACCGTCACTGTGCTGGTGGACCCATCCTTCACAATGACAGAGATAACATAATCCATTATTAAACCACAAAGCTCTTCGAAAACCTTAAGCATTTTGACAGGAACGGCTGGATGTACATCTGTGACTTTCGGGTTCTGCTGTATCTACAGTTGGACATGCTTTTTACAGTGTTTGTTGTTCTGCAAGCTGTGAGTGATACACAGGCCATAGGTAAGCACTGACTGTTTCATGATAGCCTCACTGCAATGTAAAATATATATCTGTTAATTAATGGTTTCCATATTTTATGATTCACAAGTGTTTTCCTTTTATTTGTGGTTGTGAACCGCATTATGGGATTATATTGATCTCTGCTCTGTCGACTTTTGATGTAAAAAATTCAACTCTACAGTAAATCAAAGTGACTATTATTGACATTTTAGTGGTTTGAATTAATATAATGTGTAAGAATTAACATAGAGAGAAATAAGTCTGTAAAATAAGAGAAAATGTGCTGCAGTTTATTATGTACTGTAATATACACCACCAAACCAGACAACATATCACTTCAAACGATTAATAATGTTCATAAAAGTCACTTTTTCAAACTTTTCAAGGTTAAAAGTTGTTTCTCAAAGTTAAAAGTTCTTATAATGCAATTCAAAAGCATAAAAAAATGGGAAAAACTTAAAAAACTGAATCACAAAATATGGAAAACTGCTAAATTTTAGATAATATTAGTATGTATTCTTATTAATATGCATATTAAGTGAGTTTTATTCTATACTATGTTGTTAGTCTATTGATATGACAACATTTTTAAATTCAACACAGAGTTTTAAGACATGTGAGTTGTGTTGTTGCTAATGCTTGCAGTGCATTTTGAGAAATAAAGTTTTAAAAATTTAAAACTGCTTTTATTATAGCCAAAATAAATCAAATAATAAAAAACCTATTATAGGATATACGGTGACAATTTCCTTGCTCTGTTACACATAATTTGGGAAATTAAAAAAAAAAAAGTAAAAACAAAATCGCATTTGACATCAACTAGTGCCAAAAGATGCCATGGAAATAAGAAACATAAAGAAAAAAAAAAGTATTCTGGATGAATATATAAAGCACATTGATGATTTATTGTAGCGCTGTCCAGGAATGCTGTGTTTACAGTAAACATTATTGACCTGAACATCCGCTTCTCCTTGACCTCCGGCTGTTTTTGTATCTGTTGAACATCCCTATCTACAGTCTGCATGCACTGATAGTATTACACTCTTATTTACATTCAAAAAATATTTTTTTAAGGCACAATTACAGTAAATGATACTTCAATACTTTAATGTGCTTTGGGAGGAATCATATCTCAAATCATAGGACATGTTAAAGGCATAGTTCACCCAAAACTGAAAATTCTGTCGTTGTTTACTCACCCATTACTTGTTTCAGATCTGTTTTACTTTCATAATTTTGTAAAACACAAAAGAAGACGTTTTGAAGAAAGCTGAAAACCGGTGACTTGACTTCCATTTGTTTTTCCTACTAAGGAAGTCAATGGTTACAGGTTTTTAACTTACTTCGTAATATCTTATTTGGTGTTCAACAGAAGAAAGAAACTCATAGAGGGTTTGAACCACACTGAAGGTGAATAAATAGTCAGTAAATATTCATTTTTGGGTGAACCATCCCTTGAAAGGGACTATGTGAGTTCTTCTGACTGAAAAAAAGGTTGAATTTAGGTAGTTTGTTTTAGTAGTTCAACAGTGTGTTTTCGCCAGTGTTGAGTTTTGTTTTATCTGAGCAGAACATTTACTGTGGAAAAGATTCTCCTTCTATGCCTCATCAAGCTGCTGACTTTCATTGACTAATGTTCATTCGTTCCTTATGCTGCATCATTTTTCATTTCCGCATGGTCCAGCAAAGCAAGCCAACTTCACCTAGGACCTAATTCATTTGTGTTCGGGAGGGTGCAGTGGTGCAGTGTGGAGTATTGATTAAGTCTTTGAAATCTGCCAACAAACTGAGGGAAAAGGACTTTGCGCCGACAGATCTTATTTAACAAGCAGTTTCATGTTCCTTCCATAACGTGATTTCCTTGGTAGTGTTTTAATCATCCTGCTCGGTTGAAAAGTTCAGGAGCAGACGGTGTTCAGAATATTAGGGTTTGCTTTTACTTTACTTTTTTTTTTTTTTTTTTTGGAAAATAGGCAAATTTTACAACTTATTTTTTTAAAACTATACATTCAACTATACACCACATACAGTCATAGTCAAAATTATTAGCTCTCCTTTTCTTTGTCAAATATTTCCAAATGATGTTTAACAGAGCAAGAAATTTTTCACAGTATTTGCTATAACATTTTTTCCTCTGAAGAAAGTCTTATTTGTTTTATTTAGGTTAAAATAAAAGCAGTTTTAAACTTTTTAAAAACCATTTTAAGGTCAATATTATTAGCCCCCTTAAAGGTGCAATATGTAAGTAAGACATCGAGTGAAATTTGCAACAATTTCAAAAACTCCTTTTCATATTTTCATATTGTCAAAATGGGGTATTGTGTGTAGAATTTTGAGAAGATAAATGAATTTAATACGTTCAGGAATAAGGCTGTAACATAAAAAAATGTGGAAAAAGTGATGTGCTATAAATACTTTCCATATGCACTGTAATGCATACATAAATGCATATAAATGCTCATAGTTTTAGAAAAAATCTATATATTAAAACCCTTCAAGGATTTAAGATGCTGATGAATGTTTGTAAACAAAACAATAATTATTATTGCTATGCAAATAAACTTGGATAAATGGCCAGTTCTGACCACTTTCAATCTCTTATCAGCCTTAGATCCCTGCTCAGCGTACATTAGTCTGAACGAACCATGGAGGAACACTGACTACCATGTCAACAACTCTGCGGGTGTCCCTCTGTGCGACCGGCATGTATCAGGGGAATGGTATCGCTTCACGGGTATGGCTGGAGATGCTATGCCAACCTTCTGTATCCAAGAAAACCACTGTGGAACCCATGCGCCCATTTGGCTGAATGGGAGTCACCCTGGGCCTAGTGATGGAGTTGTTACTCTATCTGCGTGTGCTAGCTTCAATAATAACTGCTGCCATTGGACTGCTAGTGTGGAGATAAAGGCCTGTCCGAGAGGTTACTATGTCTATCGTTTACCCCGGCCCTCTGTCTGCTTCCACGTTTACTGTGGCCGTAAGTATTCATCTTGCCTCGCTATACACTCAAAAAAAGTTGCATTGATGTAAAAAAAAGTTGTATTGATTAAAAAAAGATGTTTGATGTTTGTTCAAACTACTTATTTAAAATGAGCTGAAACAAATTAGCAAAAACGTATAAGTTAGCAATATCGCCAGTATGCCAATGCCTGCTATGCCAGCTTTATGCCAAATTAGGGCCAGATTTTTTTCTGCCTGCATAATATTTAAAATTGGGTTCTCCAGGAGTATGCAATGAGCTTGGAAAATTTTAGAGCTTGAGGATTTAATATATAATGGTTAGATTTTGCATCTAGAGTAGATTTAGTAGAGTAGATCTAGACTATATTTAGTAGATTATATCTAGAGTAGATTTAGTAGAGTAGATCTGGAGTAGATTTAGTAGAGTAGATCTAGACTAGATTTAATAGAGTAGATCTGGATTAGATTTATTATAGTAGATCTAGACTAGATTTAGTAGAGTAGATCTGGATTAAATTTAGTAGAGTAGATCTAGACTACATTTAGTAGAGTAGATTTAGTAGAGTAGATCTAGACTAGATTTAGTAGAATAGATCTGGATTAGATTTAGTATAGTAGATCTAGACTAGATTTAGTAGAGTAGATCTGGATTAAATTTAGTAGAGTAGATCTAGACTACATTTAGTAGAGTAGATTTAGTAGAGTAGATCTAGACTAGATTTAGTAGAGTATATCTTGAGTAGATCTAGTCTAGATTTAGTGGAGAATATCTAGAGTAGATTTAGTAGAGTAAATCTAGAGTAGATTTAGTAGAGTAAATCTAGAGTAGATTTAGTAGAGTATATCTAGAGCAGATTCAGTAGAGTAGATCTAGAGTTGATTTAGTAGAGTATATCTAGAGCAGATTCAGTAGAGTAGATCTAGAGTTGATTTAGTAGAGTATAAATAGACTAGGTTTAGTAAAGTATATATATATATATATATATATATATATATATATATATATATATATATATATATATATAGAGAGAGAGAGAGAGAGAGAGAGAGAGAGAGAGAGAGAGAGAGAGAGAGAGAGAGAGAGAGAGAGTAGATCTAGGGTAGAATTCGTAAAGTAGATCTAGAGTTAAGTAGAATAGATCTAGAGTAGATTTAGTAGAGTAGATTTAGACTAGATTTAGTAAAGTATATTTAGAGTAGATTTAGTAGAATAGATCTAGATTAGATTTAGTAGAGAAGATCTAGAGTAGATTTAGTAAAGTATATCTAGAATTGATTTAGCAGAGTAGAACAAGACTAGGCTTAGTAAAGTGTATATAGAGTAGATCTAGACTAGATTTAGTGGAGTAGAGTAGATCTAGACTAGATTTAGTGGAGTAGAGTAGATCTAGGGAAGATTTAGTAAAGTATATCTAGAGAAGATTTAGTCAACTAAAATCTTATTTATTCAGTCAACTCAGACTAAAGCTAGAATGAATTCAGAAGGCTGAATACCGTTTTAGTATGATTTAGTAGGTTTAGAAAAGATTTAGTCAACTTAGACTAAAACTGCAACAAATTCAGAAGACTGAAATACTGTGTGACCAAAGCTAAATAGTATTTCAGTAAAAAACTAAGGGTAAAATTAAATCAAAATGAACACCGGTTTGATTTGAAATGATGGTTTGGTTTAAATTTTAGCATGAACTAACCCTTAGAGAATTGACTTCCCTCAGACTTTTTTGTAATGTGTACCGCCATAGATTTCTATGACATATGTGATGAGATAGAGTGTACAGGATCTGACTGCCCTGTCGAGCCTGAATGCCGATGCTCTGAGGGAACCATTCTAGGCCCTGATGCACAGACATGTCTGGGTGAGTAACACTGTGGTCCAGGTCTGGGCAACATAAATGCTTATAGAGCACAAGAGTTATACTGCATTTACAATGAAGTACTGGCGAGAAAGAAACCACAGGAAAAGCTAAATTCAGAAACAGACCACTGATGACAAAAAGCAAAATCAATGCCTTTAATGGTAAAACAAATACATAACAGTGTAAATTGTGCAGCAACTTGCAAAAAGGTCTGCATTTTTAAAGAACTTAATGTACCGTAGGGAAATTTCAGGACACAGTCTGATGAAGTTTGTCTTCCAGAAGGTTTCTGTTTCTTTTTTTTTTTTTGGATCCCATCTGGTACTGTTGCTAAGGTTACTTTTTAGAAAGAACATAACTTATATTCATAAATATTATAGATATGAAACTCATATCTTTTGGCAATTGGCATGGTGACTCAGTGGTTAGCACTATCACCTCACAGCAAGAAGGCCACTGGTTCAAGTCATGTTCTCCCTGTGTTGGCGTGGGTTTCCTCTGGGTGCTCCGATTTCTCCCACAGTGCAAACACATGCGGTATAGGTGAATTAGGTAAACAAAATTGTCCATAGTGTATGAGTGTGTGTGTGAATTTGAGAGTGTAGGAGTGTTTCTTAGTACTGGGTTATGGCTGGAAGGGTATCCGCTGTATGTTCCAAACCATATAGGTCTAGAAAACAGCAATCTTTTATATTCCGTCAGTCTCAGTACACAACAGCAGAGTCAAACTTTAAATTATAGAATCTCTTTTTGGAATTTTGGAATAGGCGAAATGCTAATGGTCTAATCCGATTCAATGAATTATGCTAAGCTAAGCTAATAGTTCTCCCACCTAAACCGGAGATGATCTGAATGGATTCAGAAACTGTTCACTACACTCTCAGAAATAAAGGTGCAAGAGCTGTCACTGGGGTGGTACCTTTTTGAAAGGTACATATTTGTACTTAATGGGTCCTTAATAATACCTCATGGCTACATATTAGTACCTAATACCTTTTTTTGGTACTAATATATATCTTTGAGGTACCAATATATATCCTTTAAGTACAAATATGTACCTTTCAAAAAGGTACCACCCCAGTGACAGCTCTTGTACCTTTATTTCTGAGAGTGTAGTGAACTTGTAAAACTAGCATATTTCCAAAAAGAGTGGAAAACATATCTGACCCAACTAATCAAGGTATTCAAAATTACTAGAATCTTCCAAGTTGGTGGTTTGGATCTATACTATGTAGGATATTGACACTGTAGTAGTTTGTAATATTACCCTCTTTTAGAAATAGTGGATGCCATGTTAAGACTAAGTAACCTATGTGTTCTGTCCCAATTGAAATTGTGTTAATATGTACAGTAAATGTAAAGAGAAAATGTAGTATACAGTCTATTTATTAGCAGTAAAAACACAACACATAAAAATCGGCGCTGACTTTAAATGCTGTATCGAAAGTGGTAAAGACACAGCAGGACAATAAGAAGTAAATGGAATGAGTAAAAACAATTATATGTAATTGAATGTGTTCAGTCACTGGGTTGGGTGTAATTAAGAACGTTAAGTCCCCTATCCCCTCATCGATCTTTTCACTCTGTCTTTCAGTCTTTCCCGTAAGCATTTCATAACCTTTTTACCCTTCAGGAGAAACTTAACTAATCGCTTTCAATTCAGCTCCAAGCACAACATAAATTACTGGCTTTGTTGAATACCTGAAGAGAAGGCTTCGGTTTCGATAGTAGCTTGGATAAAGCCAGAGGTATTTACCAAAGCAGCAATACACTTGGATCTACTGAAGCCTTTCACATGCATGATGGTCTATTTTAAGTGCACCTATCATGCCCCTTTTACAAGACGTAAAATAAGATTCTGAAGTCCCTAGAGTGTGTATGTAAAGTTTCAGCTCAAAATACCACACAAGTAATGTTTTATAACGCTTTGAAACTGCCCCCTTCTAGGCTTGATTCAAAATGTGCCGTTTTGGTGACTGTCGCTTTAAATTCAAATGAGATTGTGCTTTTTGTTAAACAGGGAGGAGCTTCAACTGCCTGTGGGTCAGCATAGTGGCGAATTCAAAAACAAGACTAATTTTGTATGCTAATGAGGGAGAGATTATGACTAGTAGGCGGGGCTTTCCCCCTCTGATGACACGTACAAAGGAAGAATGTCAATCAAAGTGTTTCTGTGTTTCTTTTGATCAAGTTTGATTAAAAACAATAACATTAATACATTTTTACTATTAGAAGTTGGTTATATTCACACACTGTTGCCAAACAACTGTGTTTAAACCCCTTATAAAAGAGATTTTTGCATAATTTTAGGTGGATACCCGAAGGAGACTGCTGAAGTAAACACCAAGGCAGCTCACTATAGATTTTAGAGCAGAGCCAAAGCTTAATCTGTATGTACCCCAGGTTTACTTGCCTGCTTCTGTTTAATCTTTAAGATGTGAATGAGTGTGAGAAAGGGAATGGAGGATGCGCAGAGCTATGCATAAACACCAAGGGCTCTCGGCGATGTGAATGTGGACCTGGTAAAGTGCTGGACGTAGATGGGAAGAGCTGTAAAGGTAAGATGCACAGTAAAACAAGAAGATACCGGTCACACTTTACTATGAGGATTCATTAGTTCATGTATTTACTAACATTAACTAATTATGAACAATACTGGGACAGCATTTAATAATCATTGTTCAACATTTACTGTGGCCTGTTTCCACTGACTGGTACAATATGGTACAGTATGGGTCGGTATGGGTCACCTTTATCAGGCTTGCATTTCCACTGCCTAAAGGCTACCAAGGGTACCCTTTTGGTGGTTGTGGTGTTCACATATCATATGAGAAGCACTTCTCACAAAACAGATGCTTTATACACATCAAAACTTGTGTATAAATGTTCATTACTAACCTTTCTATATACATGAGCTGATTATAACTGTAGATCAATGATGCGAAATAGCCTACTGTAACGTCTGCAACTATATGAAATAAATAAATAAATGCAACATATATGAACACATACATACACTTACAGTCTCCGATTTGCTACCAATTACAGAAAAACTACACACAGCATACATTTAGTCCTTATTTGGGTTCAAAAACAACACGCAACATATAGCCCACAGTCAGTGCAAACCTCTCATCTGCATCTGTAATCTTTAGCAGCACATGTGACCTCTGTTAGAAAGCAATTCCGTCATTCTGAATTCATAATAGTCCAAAAGCTGATGATAATAGTTAAACATGGCAGTTTGTTCATGTTTTAGGTTGATGAAAGAATAATTTTCTCCTTTGTTTTTTGTTTTTTTGCGCATCACTTTTGCGTTTGTTTCTGAAAGGATCGGATGTCAAAAGCTTTTCAATAATAACGTGCACTTTATTATCGCCCGCTCAAGGAGTTTGTTATTTTAACTGTAAACGCGCGGTGAGGGATCGCCAGCTCCCTGAAGAAAGTGAAACCGCTTGCACTTTTAGACGGTCTCATAAAACAAAAACAGGACATGGAAGATTTTGTTCTTCTTTTTCTTTGCTTTGTGGCTGTATATCAAGACAAAGATAAGGTTTGTCTGAGCTCGGGTCAGCCATGGTTTGTTATTGTATGCATATAGTATTACGATGTAATGTCTCGGGTGTGTATTTAAAAATGGTGTTTTTTTTTCTTTCTTCTGTTTCATTGAATACATGAAAATTACATCACTGTATTGAAGAAAAAAATACAATAACAAAAATTAAGAAAAAAAACCTTTATAAAGCCTCAGTCATTAAGAAAAAGATTATCATAAGCTTTAACAAACTTATTCTTCTTATTATTAACAATAAGCATAAGAGATTTAATATTGAACGAAATTTCAACAAGAAAGGTATTAAATCTAGGTATTGCCTTTAGGTTCTTATATTTACAAATTTAAATAAAATTTAAATAAGGATGATAAATAAAAAATAATGTTGTTCCAAAGAAGTTTAATGTTAGCGCAACTATAAAATGGTGGTTTCTTTGTTTTCATTCCTCTGCTTGTGTATGCACAAGTGTAAACCAATAGTCTTCAGCTCCTGGTCTAGCTCCGCCCTTTAGTACCCTTTTGCTGTGCTAGGTACCCTTTGCAAAGGGTGCCCAAAAAGTGGTACGGTGCAGTTCACTTTTAGGTATTGACAGTGTAAACGGTCATAAAAGCGTACCGAACCAAACCACTCAGTGGAAACAGGCCACTAGTGCATTACTAAAATCCAAATTCATGCTTGTTAACATTAGTTAATGCACCGAGTTAACATGAACTAACAATGAACGACTGTATTTACATTAACTAACATTAACAATTATTACACATACTGTAATAAACATATTGTTCATTGTTTTATCATGTTAGTTAATACACCAACTCAGTGTTTCCCAAACCTGTTCCTGAAGGCACACCAACAGTACACATTTTCAACCTATTTCTAATCAAACACACCTGGGCTCAACTCATAAGAACATTAGAAGAGACTTTAAAACCTGAAATGAAGGGAGACATCCAAAATATGTACTGTTGGTGTGCCTCCAGGAACAGGGTTTGGAAACTCTGCATTAACTAACATTAACTAATACAATCTTACTGTAAAGTGTTACCACGATACTCTATAGTATATGGGCAGAATTTATTTGTGTCTATGTTTTTGGTGGGTTTTGTGTAGAGACCGCAGGTTGTGACAATGTTAATGGAGGCTGTAGCCATGGATGCTCATCAGATGAAGACTCCTATTACTGTCACTGTCCTTGGGGACTGATGTTGGGGGATGACAAACGGACCTGTCAGGGTGAGCTAAACCAATTCTTCCAGCTTTTTCCTCTCTTTCTGTCAGAGTCTGTAGACTTCACTTTGACATTGGGTTTGTTTATAGTCCCTGTGAAGTGTGATCCTAGTTCCATAGAAGTCTCGGTTCCCAAAGACCTGGTGGGAGGGCTTGAACTTTTTCTCTCGAACACTTCCTGCCGTGGCATTTCCAACGGGACTCACATTAATATCCACTTCAGTCTGAAGACTTGCGGCACTGTGGTCCAGGTAAATTATATATATATTGATGGCTCTGTGACTAAGTGTGGAATCATGGGAGTTGTAGTCCTCATAAACATATGACAGCCCTACAGAAATCATAGTGATAGATGAGCTATTCAGTCACTTCAAGATTTCAATATATATATATATATATATATATATATATATATATATATATATATATAGATCTTACTGAGAAGTAATATTCATGCTAATCCAAATAAAATTCTAAAATTATTTTTCTTTTTATTTTGCCACATGTATGGAACATTCTTAATGTCTGTATGAAATCAAAATTTACAATGTTTATTTTGCTAGCTCATATTGTTATTCAACTAAGTGAACAATTAATCCATGCAAGTTAAACTTAAATAAATAAAAAAAAGGATTGGTAATCCTCAATCAAACCCTGATCATTTGCATCTGCATTTGGAGTGGCGGTCCTTCTCTGTGGCTGTCAGTTTCAACAACAATATTCTTAAATATTTCCCTTTTACCATTAGTTTGCTATGAGGAAATAATATGCAAAAAGAAAGCCCCACCCACTACTTAATGTTCAGTTGGAATTGGAAGTACATCAACATATTGAAACAAAAGTCTCAGCAACTTCCAGTTCATGCAGATTACTACATTTCTGTTAAAATGTCCGTTTTTGGTATGGCAGTGGCTTTTTCAGCTGTAATACTTACAGAAAAAAGGTGAAAAGAGTCAGACTTAAATAAATAAGACAAATCAATCAATCAATAGTTTAATCAATCAATCAATCAATCAATCAATTTTTGCATAATGTTACCTCAGTGGCCCTGTCTGTTTGTTTTGTCAATGTGGATGTTTGCTATGTTAAGCAACGTTAAGCAATGGAAAGGCACTATATGAATAAAACTTCTTCAATCAATCAATCAATTAATGAAATCAATAAAATCAATCAATTAATCATTTTTTGCATAATGTTACCTCCATGGCCCTGTATGTTTGTTTTGTCAATGTGGATGTCCGCCTTGTTAACTTATTAGGATATCCTTGCATTTTACAATTCGACATCACATCTCTTCACTGTCACATCAATCATTTAACCAACCAACCAACCAACAAACCAACAAACTAACAAACAAACAAAACAAAACAACCAACCAACCAACCAACCAACCAACCAACCAACCAACCAACCAACCAAAATCAATCTGTCAATCAATCAATCAATCAATCAGTCACAATCAATCAATTAATCAGTCACAATCAGTCACAATCAATCAGTCACAATCAATCAGTCAATCAGTCAGTCACAATCAATCAGTCACAATCAATCAGTCAATCAGTCAGTCAATCAGTCAGTCACAATCAATCAGTCAATCAGTCAGTCAATCAGTCAGTCACAATCAATCAGTCAATCAGTCAGTCACAATCAATCAGTCAATCAGTCAGTCACAATCAATCAGTCAATCAGTCAGTCAATCAGTCAGTCACAATCAATCAGTCAATCAGTCAGTCACAATCAATCAGTCAATCAGTCAGTCACAATCAATCAGTCAATCAGTCAGTCACAATCAATCAGTCAATCAGTCAGTCACAATCAATCAGTCAATCAGTCAGTCACAATCAATCAGTCAATCAGTCAGTCACAATCAATCAGTCAATCAGTCAGTCACAATCAATCAGTCAATCAGTCAGTCACAATCAATCAGTCAATCAGTCAGTCACAATCAATCAATCAGTCAATCAGTCAGTCACAATCAATCAGTCAATCAATCAGTCACAATCAATCAGTCAATCAGTCAGTCACAATCAATCAGTCAATCAGTCAGTCAATCAGTCAGTCACAATCAATCAGTCAATCAGTCAGTCACAATCAGTCAGTCAATCAGTCAGTCACAATCAATCAGTCAATCAGTCAGTCACAATCAATCAGTCAATCAGTCAGTCACAATCAATCAGTCAATCAGTCAGTCACAATCAATCAGTCAATCAGTCAGTCTAACTCTTTAGGATCCATGTGTTTATCCATTAGCGTAAACTACAATTTTTACATCACGTTTCTTTACTGTCACATTAAACTACAATTTGATAAAATCAGTAATTTTACGGTTTATTTATTTTGTTTATTCTAAATTACAGAAATTTCTTTCAATTTAAATTTCTGGTACATATCTGTAATTCCCCCTCTGTTATTTCACAGTAAATTTCTGTAATTTAACGGCTGTCATTTTACATATTTTTTTCAGAAAAAATTATGGATTTTTTATTTTTTTTTGCAAATTTGAAAAAGCGGATAATCCTCTTCCTTCCTCTGTTCCAGGTCAGTGGCGACAAAATCATTGGCACCAACTTGGTGACAGGTTTACCACGGTCAAGTCCCAGCAGCAATGGGGATTTGATTGTGCGCACGAGCAAACTTTTACTGCCAATTACGTGTGAATTTCCACGGCAGTATGAGGTGTCGGACGGCTACCTGCCAAGTCTACGCAACACAGCGCTGGAGTTAGCGGGCCACAGCGAAGGAATATTCCCCTTCAGTTTGGAGCTGTTTAAGAGCGCTGAATTTTCCGAACCCTACAACCAACCTCCACAGCTGAAGTTACGCGACGTGCTGTACTTTGGTGTTGAGCCTCGGGAGCGGGTGGATGGCCTTGCTGCTTTTGTAGAAAACTGTTTTGCCACACCTGGTCCCAAGGCTGACCAGGCCTTGAAGTATTATCTCATCAAAGACGGGTAAGGTATTCAAAAGAATTCAATTTTAATATTATATTATTCTGTACACTTACAATACCATGTGTTACAGTCATATGTATATGCCTGTTTGTTTGCTTGTGTGTGTGCGCTCTCTTTCTCTCCCTCTCTCGCTCGCTTGCTTGCTCCCTCCTCCTCTCTCTGTCAGTTCTCAGGTTCGCCCATTCCAGTATCCCATTCGTCCGTGAAGACGTCAATCTCAATTACACCTTGTGACGTCATCACCTCCACAACCAATCAGCACAGGAGCTCAAAGTTTAAAAGGGATGCGAGCGGGGAAGCTCGTTCTGCTTTTGCTCTGCCTTGCTTGCGGTCTTTGCTTGCCTTTGTGTGTGTTTTTGGCTTGTTGTTATGTGCTGTGATGTTGACGTGAACTTAGTTTTGATTTTGGTCTTGTTCTTGTGTTGATCGCTGTTACCGTCTTGGATGTGTATATGTGATAATCCCCTGACGTCTGTCTTCAGCCTTTCCCTTGGATTCGAGGAGTTTAGATGTCACGTGACATACATATTGCATCACGCAGATGACTCCACTGTCTAAACACACTAGTTTAGAAGTGAGCGCCACCCGCTGTAAGTTTTCTCCGTATATTTGGTTAGAAGAGTAGATTAGTTATAGCGTGAAAACGCTGAAGATGTTTTGTTTGTTTATTTTGTATTAGACAGTTTAGAGGGAAATTATTAGTTAGAATTGGGGTTTTGTTATATTTCTTTCATTTATTTGGCGCCACTTAACTCTCGTTTCCCCCACCATCTTTAATCTATTTTGATTGATTTATGTTGTGAGATCTTGTAAATAATACTTTATTACTTTTTGACTTCCTTTCACTATTGTAAATAAATTCACTTATTTTTGCAGTATTTTGGTTGTCGTGTTGATATTTTGCCACCAACTGACCACAAAATATTATCACCTTAAATGTTACCTTTTAAACCCTAGATACCAAAACTTAAAAGTCGTAACATTTAAATGGGGGCTCGTCCGGGATCTCTTTTTAATAAAAGAAACCTGAAATTGTGATAAGTTTTGTGTTTGTTGGTGGCAATTGGTGTTAGTTTGTGTATTGTACATAATAGATGTTTGCGGAAGGGTATCTTGCTGTTTGTTTCGTGTAGTCTGTATCATGGAGGTTTTTAGTTTGGAGGAATTTGTTACAAAACCAACCCTAGAGCAGATTAATGTTTGTAGGAAGCAGGATTTATTACTGATTGCTGATCATTATCAGATTGTTGTTAACAAGCAGAGTCGTAAGGCAGAAATAAAAGGTAAGATACTGTTAAAGTTACATGAGAAAAGTGTTCTTCTTCTGTCAAATGTTGTGGAGGAGACTGGTGAAAATATTAGCCAGGATGACGTTGCTGTGGCGCATCCCAGTCCGGGTGCTGAGGATGATCCTAATGGTCAAGTTGATGTCGGCGCGGAGGCGAAGGCTGGCTTGCCAGTGTTTGATCCGTTCTCCCCTATTTCCTCTGGTTACAGAGATGATGCGCGACTGAAAGTCCGCTTAGCCCGTCTGCAGTACGAGGCACAAGAAAAAGCGCATGCACGTCAGGCTGAAATAAACTTGCGTTTAGAAATACGCAAGCTAGAAATAGAGGCTGAAAAAGTGATCAAGCTGCGACAGCTAGATCTGGAGGCGATGAAGATTTCTTCTGGCTCAGCTGCGCAGCCCAATTCGGCTCCTGTCTCTGTGTCCTCTGATGTGGCCCCGCCTACTGATCCAGCTCCGACCGCATTTGACATAGGTAAGCACATTGCATTAGTCCCACCATTTAGAGAATCAGAAGTAGATTCTTATTTTTGTGCTTTTGAGCGGATAGCCATTTCTTTACGTTGGCCTAAAGAGGTTTGGTCACTATTGCTGCAGTGCAAGTTGTTTGGTAAAGCTCAAGAGGTTTGCTCTACTTTGTCAGTTGAGGATAGCTTGAAATATGAAAATGTCAAGTCTGCAATTTTGCGAGTTTATGAACTTGTTCCAGAAGCCTATAGACAGCGATTTAGAGCATGTAAGAAAACATCTGCTCAGACTTTTGTTGAATTCGCAAGGGAGAAAGGAATCTTGTTTGATAAGTGGTGTAGCGCTAGTAAGGTGGCTGATTTTAACTCACTGCGGGAACTGATGTTAATGGAAGAATTTAAAAATTGTTTGCCCGAGCGAGTTGTTGTTTATCTAAATGAACAGAAGGTGACTTCATTGTCGCAAGCAGCTGTTCTAGCAGACGAGTTCATTTTAACTCACAAGAATGTTTTTGCAACTGCACGTTCTGAGAAGTCCCAGCCTAATTCTTCACAAACCAGTAGACCAAAATCTAGCACAACTCGTGAAGAACGTGAGTGCTATTATTGCCACAAACAAGGTCATGTCATAGCCGATTGTTTGGTTTTAAAACGGAAACAGCAGCCGCAAGTGAAAAGTGTAGGGTTTTTAAAAACTCACACTGCTTTCAATGCATCTGATGATGACAAAATTGATGACAATTATAAACCTTTTATTCTGGAAGGATTTATTTCGTTGTCTGAAAATGGTGAGGATCAGATTAAGGTAAAAATCCTTAGGGACACTGGTGCTTTGCAATCTTTTATTGTTGCAGACAAGTTAAAGTTGTCAGATGACACTTTCTGTGGCTCCAGTGTGATTGTTCAGGGCATTGAGATGAATTGCATCAAAGCACCGCTACATCGTATACACTTGAAGAGTGATCTGTGTACAGGATTTGTGAGGGTGGCTGTGCGCCCATCACTTCCTGTAAAGGGCATAGATGTTATTCTTGGAAATGATCTGGCAGGAGGAAAAGTAATGCCGGTGTTAGAGGTAACAGAAAAACCAGATTTGTGTGCTCAATCGGATTTGACTGACGCTTACCCTGATGTTTTTCCTGCATGCGCAGTTACACGTGCACAGACACGCAAGTTGGGTAACGTAATTGAATTGGCTGATTCATTTTTCTCTCCTCTCCTAGCTGGTGAGAAAATTCCTGATTCTGAGACATCCAGAGAAAAACAAAACACACAAAATGTTGATGTAGTGACTGATACTGAAACGTTAAAGTTACCTGTATCACGAGAGAAAATAATGGTTGCTCAAAAAGAGGATAAATCTCTTGCACCTATTTTCGATTCAGCTGTCACAAAAGATGTGATAAAAGAAAGGAAAAGTGGATTTTTCATTGACAGTGAGATGCTGATGAGGAAATGGTGTTCAAATCCAGGTAGTGATTTTGATTGGGATGCTGTTTATCAAATTGTTGTTCCATCTCCTTATCGTCAACACGTACTATATCTGGCGCATGACCATCAGCTTGCTGGCCATCTAGGAATCACAAAGACATACAACCGAATTTTGAAGCATTTCTTTTGGCCAGGTTTAAAAAAAGATGTGGTTAAATACTGTCGTGTTTGCCATACATGTCAGATAGTAGGAAAGCCGAACCAAGTGATTCCGCCTGCACCCTTGACTCCCATACCTGTTATTGGCGATCCTTTTGAACACATAATTGTGGACTGTGTGGGGCCGCTCCCTAAAACAAAATCTGGTAATCAGTTTTTACTAACTATAATGTGTGCCGCAACTAGGTTTCCAGAGGCTGTTCCCCTGAGAAAAATCACCGCACCTGTGATTGTTAAAGCTCTGATAAAATTCTTCTCTACATTTGGCCTGCCTAAAATCATTCAAAGCGATCAAGGTACGAATTTTCTATCGAAGCTATTTAAGCAAATTTTACAATCACTCGACATCACCCATCGTGTTTCAAGCGCATATCATCCTGAGAGTCAGGGTGCGCTTGAACGCTTTCATCAGACACTCAAGTCCATGCTCCGCAAATACTGCCTGAGTACAGATAAGAACTGGGATGAAGGAGTCCCTTTGGTTTTATTTGCTGCGAGAGAAACAATTCAAGAATCGCTTGGATTTAGCCCAGCTCAGCTAGTGTTCTCTCACGAAATTAGAGGTCCGTTAAAAGTACTAAAAGAACGCATGTTGTCTGTTGAGACCAGTAAGAAAACTAACATATTAGATTATGTTAGTCAATTCCGTGATCGTTTACACTCCGCGTGTAAACTGGCTAAAGAATCTTTGGCCAGTGCGCAGAAAGGGATGAAGCGCAAGTACGACAGAAAGGCTGTTGCGCGCTCATTCGCTGTTGGAGATAAGGTTCTCGTACTTTTACCAGTACCTGGTTCTTCACTTTCTGCTCGTTTCGCCGGTCCATACGAAATAAAAAAGAAACTGAGTGAGACGGATTATATGATTCATACACCCGATAGAAAACGCCAAACCCGTGTATGTCATATTAATATGCTTAAAGTATACCATTCCAAAGAGACAGGTAAGGATGCCCCGGTTTCAAAGCCAGAATCCGTTGTTCCCACTGTTGTTGCAGTTGCGGAACAGACTTCTGCTGTGATGTCAGATGCTGATGACGGTGTAATTCTTCGTGACCTTCCCCAATCATCTGTGAGGTTAGTCAATTCAGAAATTTTGAGTGATCTAAATTCCTATCTCAAACATTTGCCTGCTGATCAGAAAACAGATATCATTAAGTTAATATCTGATTTTAACTGTTTGTTTGGTGATGTTCCAACCCAAACAAATGTGTTAAAACACGATATTAATGTGGATGGTGCACGTCCAATAAAGCAGCACGCATATCGTCTGAATATGGCTAAAAGATCTATTATGCGTCAAGAAGTGAACTACTTGCTTGAAAATAAATTGGCAAAACCGAGCAGTAGCCCTTGGAGTTCACCGTGTTTGCTGGTGCCAAAACCAGATGGAACGTACAGATTTTGTACTGATTACCGAAAGGTTAACGCAGTCACTGTCCCAGACAGCTATCCTTTACCACGCATGGAGGACTGCGTTGACAATGTCGGTTCTGCACGTTTTGTCTCTAAATTAGACATGCTAAAGGGATATTGGCAAATTCCGCTTACTGATAGAGCTTCTGACATCTCCGCATTCGTCACTCCAGATTCATTTATGCAATACAATTCGATGGCTTTCGGTCTTAGAAACGCACCCGCGACGTTTCAACGTCTAGTAAATACAGTGTTGGCCGACATACCAAACTGTAGCGCGTATCTCGATGACATAGTAGTTTACTCCATGAGCTGGCGTGATCATGTGCATTCGTTAAGAGAAATATTTACACGACTTTCTAACGCATCTCTAACACTAAATTTAGCTAAATGTGAGTTTGGACAAGCGACTGTCACATACCTGGGCAAGGAGGTTGGACAAGGTCAAGTTCGCCCTGTAGATGCGAAAGTAACCGCTATTTCGCAGTTTCCAGTCCCCACCACTCGCCGAGAACTACGGAGGTTCTTGGGTATGGCTGGTTATTACCGAAGTTTTTGCAAAAACTTTTCTACTGTGGTTAACCCCTTAACATCTTTGCTTAGCCCTTCTACATCATATGTGTGGTCTGATGCTTGTCAAAGTGCCTTTGATAGTGTGAAAGCACTTTTATGTAATGCACCTGTTCTTGCTGCTCCTGATTGTGCATCACCATTTAAGCTTGAGATTGATGCAAGTGCTGTAGGTTCTGGTGCCGTACTTCTTCAGGAGGATGAAACTGGTATTGACCATCCTGTGAGCTATTTCTCTCGTAAGTTTAATAAACATCAGCTCAATTATTCTACGATTGAAAAGGAAACCCTTGCTCTGTTGTTTGCTTTGCAACACTTTGAGGTCTACGTTGGTTCCAGCTGTTTACCTGTGATTGTATATACGGATCACAATCCTCTAGTATTCCTATCCAGGATGTACAATCATAACCAACGACTGATGAGATGGTCTCTGCTAGTCCAGAATTATAATTTGGATATTCGTCATAAAAAAGGCATTGATAATGTTATGGCGGATGCCCTGTCTAGAGCTTAATTTTTTTTTCTCTCTCTCTGGTTTATTTTAACAAACAGGTTTGTTCTTGAGGGTCAGGGTGTTACAGTCATATGTATATGCCTGTTTGTTTGCTTGTGTGTGTGCGCTCTCTTTCTCTCCCTCTCTCGCTCGCTTGCTTGCTCCCTCCTCCTCTCTCTGTCAGTTCTCAGGTTCGCCCATTCCAGTATCCCATTCGTCCGTGAAGACGTCAATCTCAATTACACCTTGTGACGTCATCACCTCCACAACCAATCAGCACAGGAGCTCAAAGTTTAAAAGGGATGCGAGCGGGGAAGCTCGTTCTGCTTTTGCTCTGCCTTGCTTGCGGTCTTTGCTTGCCTTTGTGTGTGTTTTTGGCTTGTTGTTATGTGCTGTGATGTTGACGTGAACTTAGTTTTGATTTTGGTCTTGTTCTTGTGTTGATCGCTGTTACCGTCTTGGATGTGTATATGTGATAATCCCCTGACGTCTGTCTTCAGCCTTTCCCTTGGATTCGAGGAGTTTAGATGTCACGTGACATACATATTGCATCACGCAGATGACTCCACTGTCTAAACACACTAGTTTAGAAGTGAGCGCCACCCGCTGTAAGTTTTCTCCGTATATTTGGTTAGAAGAGTAGATTAGTTATAGCGTGAAAACGCTGAAGATGTTTTGTTTGTTTATTTTGTATTAGACAGTTTAGAGGGAAATTATTAGTTAGAATTGGGGTTTTGTTATATTTCTTTCATTTATTTGGCGCCACTTAACTCTCGTTTCCCCCACCATCTTTAATCTATTTTGATTGATTTATGTTGTGAGATCTTGTAAATAATACTTTATTACTTTTTGACTTCCTTTCACTATTGTAAATAAATTCACTTATTTTTGCAGTATTTTGGTTGTCGTGTTGATATTTTGCCACCAACTGACCACAAAATATTATCACCTTAAATGTTACCTTTTAAACCCTAGATACCAAAACTTAAAAGTCGTAACACCATGCTGTATGCTATATCAGTGTTTCACAACTCTTTACCTGAAGGAACACTAACAGTACACATTTTCCTAATTAAACACCTGAATCAACTCATCAGAGTCTCCAACACCTGAAGTTAATGGGCTTTATTTTGACGGTCCATGTGCAGAGCGCAAAACGCAGTGCGCAAAACGCAGGGCGCAAACGCTTTCAGGGCGTGTCAGAACGCATTTTTGCTAATTTAAGGACGGGAAATCTGCTTTGCGCCGTGACGCATGGTCTAAAAGGGTTGAGTTTATTTTCTTAATGAGTTATAGGTGTGTTTTGAGAATAAACCAACTAGAGTCTCATCTCCCATTCCCTTTAAGTGCCAGCTGCGTCGCGCCAAGAGCGCATTCGCTATTTACAGGACGCAAAGTAAGTCTAAGTGGAAAAACTGAGCATTTCACAAGCAAACAGTTAACAGTTAACAGAAAACTGTTAAAAAGAGCATCTACTGCATGAGAATGAGAGATAATGGATCTACTTTCACTTTTGCTCTTGGATAGGGAATCCTTTACGCACAGACATCAATTAGTCTATAAATAATTAATTTTGTTTGTTAAGCGCAAATATTCGTTTCAAAACTATTTCTAAATTCAGTTTTAATTTCCAGCAAACCAATAAATGAACAATAATAACGAAATGTGCACAAAAACCTGAGTTATATCCTAAAACACATGCTGTGCTCCATATGGTCTAAAACCTGACAGGTGGGCAAATCTAAGCTTGTTTTTAATAAAACAAATATAAATATGGATATAATAAATAATACTGCTAATAATAATAACATTATACAAAAGCAAATTGTTATGAATGAACTGAAAAAGCCTCCCGAGATGAAGAAGGCATGAAAGCAGTGATTTTTCATATTGATGTAGGCTAGAAAATAATATGTTTTGTAATATTTTAATCCTTTATATTTATATCCTATATCTATTCTTATTATATCCAATATAAATCCTTAATATTTACATTTTTTCATATGTAAAGATATTTGCCTATTGCTCTCTTGTGTGTATTAAGCAGTGTGTAAGCGAGGCACAACTCTGCGCTGGAGTTTAGTCTGGGTTAGTTTTGGTCTAATAAAAAATCTATTAAAGTTTCTCAAAATACCAACGCGCCCGCGGTCCGCCTCAGAACACCTTCCTTTTTAGACCAGAACGCCTATGGGCGCAAAAATGAGCGCTAATGCATTTGTTATTTTAACAGCGTAGCGCAACGCCTCAAAACGACTCTTGCGCCAAGCTGAAACTAGCAAAATACTATTACCCCGTGTCTTGCACCACATTGCGCCAGGTGTATGATAGGGCCCAATAGGTCAGATAGGGGAGACATCCAAAATATGCATTGTTGGTGTGCCTCCAGAAACAGGGTTGGGAAACACTGCGCTATATGACTGGGGCTACATGTGCTGATACAAAGTGACCATTGTGCTTTAATGGCCTTACATTTGCCAGGTGCATTTCTGATGAAACGGTGCGTCAGCTTTCGGCTAAAGACGAGCTCTCCAAACACTACCAGGTCCCAGTCTTCAAGTTCATCGGCAAGGACAACAGAGTGAGTAGGGAACAGGTGCATGCTGGGACAATTCAGCTTGTGCTTTTGTGTGTGTGTGCGTGTGCGTGCATGCGTGCGTGTCTGTGCGTGCGTGCGTGTCTGTGCGTGCGTGCGTGCGCGCTAATGAGCCAGTTGTGATAAATGCATATGAAAATAAGCGAGTCGTTGACTGAATTTGTCCGTGCTGTGTTAGGAAGTGTTTCTGCATTGCCGTGTGCTCGTGTGTGGGCAGACACAAGGGGAGTCTCGCTGTACACAGGGCTGCCGAAAGCGTTTGAGAAGAGATGTCTGGATTGATCAGCACCAAGAGCAAAACATACTGTCCAGTGGGCCGATTCACATACTGCCAGATCCATGAGCCAGCATAAAGTAAACAGCGCCATCTACAGACTAACCTAACGTATTTCAACACCCAATCACAGTCTGCACTGGAAAACAAATAAGTTAATTAACAGTTTACGTATTTTGTTTTCCATTCATGTACAGTTGGGAATTGCATTATGGGCTGTTGATCTCTGCTCTGTGGACTCTTGATGTTGAAAATTCAACTCTACAGTTTAACAAAGTGACTTTTATTAACATTTTAGTCATTTGAAATAATATAATGCAGTGGTGCCTAACCTTTTTATCACTGCGGGCCAGTCAACACATAACAATTTTAAGCGGGGGAGGTCTACGTATATTGCTAGGGGACCATCTACTGTACCTTTTTCTCAGAGGATGACAAGCTGACCCAACATTGCTGTAACTCTAATACAAATTTTTATCTCTGGAGAAAATTAAATTGTTCTGTGTTCTGTGTGTTTAAGGTATTTAGGCCCATTCCTTATTCTATTTTTGTACCCCTAGCCCTTCCCCTTGGCCCGTTAAACTAAGTGTGAAGGGGAAGGGCTTCAAAATTTACCCCTAAGAAATGGGATAAGCACTACAGCACCTGCACACGTCATCATATGTCATCAAGAGCTCTTGCTTCATATGAGATTTTTGGTATTTATCGTCATGAAATCACTGAAGCCATATATTATGTTATCATAACAATCTAATGTGGCAATAAAATCGTAGCTATACTGCGCATTTACACAGTGGCCATATTCATCTATGTAAACACACCAAAAATAACATTACTATTATAGCAGACACTGTAAAAAGCTCATTCCCAGACACTAGACATTTCTGACAGGGTGTTTGAGTGTCATCGAGTTGCAGAATGTTGTTGAACTGCTGTACAGGAGTTGTTATTATGGATTATAGATCGTGAAATTTAGTGGTTTTTATTTTAGCGTGTGTTTTTTTTTAAGCATGACTGTAAAATACGAACGTGGTTTTAAATATATATTAAAACATGTGCTTGTTTTTTGTAAGAATGCATAATAATTTAAAAAACAAACTCATTTGTGGATCTCCTTACTACCGGGTTCAGCAATTCTGCCGTTGTGGCTGGTGTATTCTGAGAAATTTTCTTACCCCTTGGTTTCGAGTGTGGTCCTGAAAAATCTTTGTTCGAAGGGTTATTCACCCCTTCCCCTTAGCCCTACGCCTTCAAGCTAAAGAGAATTTAGACACCCCTACCCCTTAACGTGAATGTGCAAAACGAGGGGTAAGGGGAAGGGCTGAGTGGTAGAATTGGGATTGGGCCTTAGTCTACCGAAACACAAAGTATAAATGAACTATTCCATACAAAGTATGTGACTGATCGGCCAGTTCTTACCAAGTGACTCCCGGTGCACTCACAGCATTCTGAAAAGCTGGGATGTTTTCAGCTAGGTGCGCCTGGAATACGTGAGCGAGTTGCGGCACTTGTGTGATAATGAACTTGCATGTGAAAAAGACACAATTTGTGAACACAGCCGCCATTATTTGCGATCTCCAGCAGTTGATCTTTTTCTTGCACAGACATGCTGAATTCACCTGATTTGTTGACAAATGGGTGGTGGATCCATTCCTTGGCAGTTCGTGGCTCCTTCGCTGGGCCTTTTCCTATTCACAAAAAGAAATTTCCAAAGATGTCTGTTTCTTACTCTTTTTGCTAGCTTGTGGGTTAAATTTTAGCGCTCAAGTGACCGAGATGCAACTGAGAGAATACGATAATTTTTCAAAATAAAACATTTTTCAAAATAAAAGATCGTTTAGACTCAGATGATAAATAAAACAGAAGTGATTAATGATTTCTTGTGTTGCCCGGTACCATGACCCAGAGGTTGGGGACCACTGCTGGTAATGTAAAAGAATTAATATATAGAGAAATAAGTCTGTAAAAGAACAGAAAATGTGCTGGCAGTTTATTACAAGGTGTATGTAGCGTAATATACAACACCAACCCAGACAATATAGCACTTTAAACTATTATTAATGTTTATAAAAGTCACTTTTACCAAACTTTTCAAGGCTAAACGTTGTTGGAAGAAAGATCCCATACATCCCATAATGCAACTCAAAAGCATAAATAAAAACATGAATCGCAAAATACGAAAAACCACTAATTTATGGATATTTTTACAGTGTAGTCAGTAATAATCATACATGAATTGATAAGAGGAGGCTCTGCTGAAGCCTATCTCATCTCCACTGCTTCTAATCCTATTCTGTTATATAATCCTTACCTGAACCGAAAAGAAAGATGCATTTTTGTCTGCATTAATTTGTAGTACTGTAATGTGTACAATTAACAAGCATGGAAGCACAGAATAAATAAAAAAGCTTAAATGGCTCATTTGCATATATGATTAGCAGAGTTTTACTGGGCGAAATAAAGGGATGTTACAGCCGAGTCTTTTTCGTTCAGTCTTTACTCACAATGAAAAACATTCCTGCGTGTTTTTGCTGAGCACTGATTCTACATTTAGTTACATTTGAAGAAAATAATAGTAATGCAGTAATATTACATAAATATTACCATGATATATAGATCATCACCAAACAAAAGTTCCTTAATATATTAAATATTAGTTCGGTACCAATACTTGTGTGAATTCTCTACGTCTTAATGGCTTCATCTATGGTCATAAGAAGTTAAATGTTGTCTTCCCATATAACAACCCATATAGAAATCCGACATATGGAAATATATGCAAATTAATTATATGACATACAAGTGTATGTAGCAAAAATGGCTGTTTACATATATAGTTTGTCAACCATTATAATTACAAACATGTACATACCGTATAGGTTCAAATATATTAGCAATCATTTTGTGTTCATATATGACACACACACATATGCATAGTACACATCTGTAATTAAAATGGTTGAAACTTAAAATATACACATAAACGGATATCTATTTTTCTATATTCAGTCATTTCCCTTCAGCTTAGTCTTTATTTTAGAGGCTGACACAGTGGAATGAACCATTGATTTTTCTATATGTGAAATTCAAATATAAACTTGTATGTTATATATGAAATTTGCATATATTGCCATATATCAGATTTCTGTGTGCGAAACCTATACACAATCACACACACACACACAATACATATGCGATAACGACACCCATATACCATATAAACTTTTTCTTGTCTGACAAAATCCAATAGCACCAGTTCAAGGGTTAGTGGATGAATCTCCACAACGTGTGAAGGTCACATTTCACTTCAAATTAATGTCGATCAATAGTTTCTACTCAATGTTTGTAGTGAAATGTGACTTGTTTGAATGTGACTCGTGCCTTGTGTGGTATAGTTTAAAGCTATGAAGTGTTTATATGTGCTGAAGGTGGTGTGTTTTGTGATTTTGTTGGTCTTCAGAGCTCATCCTTCTCTTCTCCTTCGCAATAGCAGGACGCCCTTTGGCCGTTCATGAAGGGTCTGCAGCCCAAAGTCCACACAGTGTTGTACATGGTGTCTGCAAAGGTCTCACATGCTGTGCAGGAGAAAGAATAGGAAAAGTTATCAGAGATCATCCAGTTTGTTATTACAAATGTTAATCCCTTTTTTTTACATATCAGAACTGATTTGGTTTGCTTTCCCTTGTTTTAAGCAACCCAAGCTCATTGGGGAGACAGTTGAAGTCTAAATTATTAGACAAAACACTGTTATACAATAACTTATTATGTACTATCATCATAGCAAAGATAAAACAAATCAGTTATTAGAAATATGTTATAAAACTATTATGTTTTGAAATGTGCTGAAAAAAATCTCTCTGTTAAACAGAAATTGGGGGAAATAAACAGGGGTATAATAAGTAAGGAGAGCTAATAGTTCTGACTTCAATTGTATGTACCCAGGGCTACATTTTTGAGAACCCAGAAATATGTACCAGGGGCTACATCTTCTTACAGTTTTTGCTTTCACAAATCCACTGGAGGCCCCTGTGCATATTTTTGACGATCGTAAATATAGTTACTTGGGCACGTTTTACATTTCTCGTAAATTCACCTGAAGACGCTGTGTACAATTCTGCGTACATCCATCTTGCAAGCATCCATGAGAGAAGTCGGTTGGCTTATCGCACATAACAAATCATCTTGATATCGACTGACCCACATATCCCCTTCCCTAAACCCAACCAATAGTGTTTTCAAAAGCAAACTAGAAGAGAAAGGGCCAACCCAACAGGTTTTTTTTAAAAAGCTGTCCATACGGAGGTAAGTACCGATCCATAGCGTTTGCTTTACTCACAAAATGCAGCCATATGTACCCTCAAACACATATTTCTCGGTTTTCAACAATGTATCGCAGAGCATTATTTCTCAGTGAGCCTAAGTTGGATTTGATTTTTTAAATATTAGACAATGGCTCTGTTTCAATACAAACATTTTACTTCTGCTTTTTTGACTGAGATTCTTAATGTGTTTTATATAATTGTCTTCTGTCTTTATAGACTCTAAATATGATGGCTTTTCACAACCCAAAGTTGGGTCAAGTGTGAAAAGTATGAAAGTTTGAATTGAAAAAAATGTATTCCAACTTTGGTTTTGTCCATATTTGACATCATTAACTTTGAGTAATGACAACCCAGCATTTATAGAGTGTAGCTAAAATAAAGAACGGCCTTTCCCCCCTTTCAGCTCAGTAGTTATTGTATTAGTGCACTTTTTTATCTTACTTGGTGTTTTTGTCTTTTAACTAGCCCAAATATTTAAGAAATTAAAATCGAGAAGCATTTTCTAGGAAAGTATTTAATATTAAACAGTAAAAATACTCTTTTGTTTTCAGAAATAATAAATCAAAATTAGGATAATTATTCCTTAAACCAAGCTAAACTAGTCAGTGGTGTAAGTAAAATATTTGGTAACAATTTATTTGAATGGTGTGTTCATAAGACCTTAATAATTATGCCATGACATGTTATGAATGTGACGGAGATTTTATGCGTGGTTATGACAACTGTTAGTTAGTGTCAATCGCTCAGTTATGACATTTCAAATACAAATATATATATATTAGAACTTGACATGAAGAAATGCATCATAACCTGTTTATTTTCATTGTCATGACAACTTGACATTAACAAGACATGATTGTAATGGGGCATTATAATTGTGCCATGAATGTTTTTCTGATCCCTTTTTCAGTGTAATAAAACTATTTGTCATTAAAAAGTCTCTTTAAAAGTATCATTCTTCTATCAAATAATGAACACTGTCATTAATATTTAATGACATGTTAATGACAAATTCAGCTTTTACCATTGTAGTTGAGATTAAAATATTAGGTATGACGCTGTTATAAAATTTATAACATATTTATAATGGCTTCATGACAATCATGTTTATGACAGATTTATGACAAGTTTTGTTGTCTTGTAATGTCAGGTTGTCACAACAAACAGGTTGTTGTTTTTTCAAGTTGTAATACCAAACAATGGCATCTTTGCATTTAAAATGTCTTAACTAAGCGAATGACACTTAAGGACAGTTGTTATAAGCATGCATAAAATCTCATTCACAGTCCTGGCATGTGTCATGTCATAAATATAAAGGTGTCTTATAAACACCCCTGCAAGTAAAGTGTTACCCAATATTTTATACATGTCTAGAAAATAAATTAAGAATTTTTAGATATTTGAACAAAATTAAACAAGACAAAATCTTTAAGTTAGACCCGCATTCATCAGTGTGTGAATATTTCCGCACCTTCAACTTTGGACATAAGGCCCAGACTCTTCTTCAGGTCACCGCAGATGCTGTGGAGGCACCAGCGGAATTTGGTGTCACAGCGGTACTTGTTGGATCCACAGGTTTCGTAGCAAATATCTAACTGGTTGCAACATTTGGTCATGGCTGGGACACCCATATCAAACTGTGGAGTAAAGACACATTTTACAAGATAAATAAAACAATATAACACTTTCACACTAGTTAGAATAAACCAATTTACCAAAATACAATCCACGTGCATAACAAGATCATGCATTCATATATGGGTAACACTTTAAAATAACATTACATGAATAATGATGTACTAATATGTGAATTAAATGTTACTTTATTATGATCTGATGATGAGTTAAGGCATGCAGTAATTAATAACCAACTTTAACTACCACATAAGACACACAAGTTCATCTGTGAATAACGACTGCCTTATTTATTTGTCAGTACATGCTTGTTAATTAATATATGAATTAACACTTTCGTTTGAGCTGATTGTATCTACCATGAACTCATAACATGTTAATGTATCTTTGTCATGACTTTACTTGGAGGGGCACACTATTATCATTAAGTCACTCCTAACTATATTCGTCAACTCCTGTGTTAAAACGAACAGTTATGCACTTCTGTCTAGTGCTTGTTTACATTGAGAATTGATAGAAAAGTGTTTATTCTACATCAAAATGAACAGTTTAAATAGTTCATGAGTAGTTAAGAATGAGTTCATGATAGTGTGCCCCTCCAAGTAAAGTCTTTACAAGTAAAGTCATGTAGTGTTATTGTAAAGTGTTACCTTTATATGCATATGAAAACAGTACTGTTGGCAAACAAGCAAGCACAAAGTGCAGACACACAAAACATGTTAGTCACAAAAAGTTCATGAAGCTTGAGCTGCTGGTAGGTGCTTGAAATGCAATGGCATAAAAAAAACACATCATAACCCAAATCATAAAGTTTTTTTTTTCATTGTCATGACAACTTGACATTAACAACACATAATTGTAATGGGGCATTATAATTGTGTCATGAATATTTTTCTGATCACTTTTTCAGTGTAATAAAACTGTATTTGTCATTAAAAAGTCTCTTTAAAAGTATCATTCTTCGATCAAATAATTTTTACGCTGTCATTAATATTTAATGACATTTTAATGACAAATTCAGCTTTTACCACCATAGTTGAAATAAAAAATAATATTAATGATGCTGTTAAAAAAATGATCACATATTTATAATGACAATCATGTTTATGACAGATTTATGACAAGTTTTGTTGTCTTGTAATGTCAGGTTGTCACAACAAACATAAAACAGGTTGTTGTTTTTTTTTTAAGTTGAAGTACCAAACAATACCATCTTTGCATTTAAAATGTCTTAACTAAGCAAATGACACTTAATGACAGTTGTTATAAGCATGCATAAAATCTCATTCACAGTCCTGGCATGTGTCATGCCATAAATATAAAGGTGTCTTATAAACACCCCTTCAAGTAAAGTGTTACCCAATATTTATACAGCTGCTGGTAGGTGCTTGAAATGCAATGGCATTTACAAAAATGTGTAATTGTTTAAAATTGCTGAATTATTGTCACAGATATGCCTGACATCCACACTACTCCAGTATCTTCGACCCACAAAAACAGAGCTATATTTAAAAACCTTGTAGATCCCATTTTTCTTTGGAAATACTGATGTTCCATTTCAGTACAGAGTCTGTTGAAGATGCTGGAGGAGTGAGGATGCCAGAGAATCATTAAAAAATAATAATAATAAAAATCAGTTTTAATTCATCTATGGATAGACTGTAAAGCGAAATTTTGAAATCAAAGGTGCAGCTAAACACAACTGCTCTCTAATTGGTCTTCTGACCTATTGCTCATCTTTCCCTGATTTGTCAAGCCACTCTCTTATGACTATTACTCAAACACTAAACTGCAAGTAGGGCCAGGCGGTGGCGCAGTAGGTAGTGCTGTCGCCTCACAGCAAGAAGGTCGCTGAGTCGCTGGTTCGAACCTCGGCTCAGTTGACGTTTCTGTGTGGAGTTTGCATGTTCTCCCTGCCTTCGCGTGGTTGCTCCGCTTTCCCCCACAGTCCAAAGACATAGGGTAGGCTAAATTGTCCGTAGTGTATGAGTATGAGTGTGTGTGTGTGTGTGGATGTTTCCCAGGGGTGGGAAAGAAACTTGCTGGATAAATTGGTGGTTCATTCTGCTGTGGCGAGCCTGGATTAATAAAGGGACTAAGCCGACAAGAAAATTAATGAATGAATAAACTGCAAGTATGGATGCTGGCAGAATGTGAATGCTCCTGTGTTTTATGGCTTTATGCTGTATAGTGTTGATGGAAAGAGTTGTTTTTGAATGCAATAACTGCAGTCTGGGCGAAAATAATTTTCACTGTAAAGTGCTGTGGTGGCTCAGTGGTTAGCACTGTCGCTTCACAGCAAGAAGCTCGCTGGTTCGAGTCCCGGTTGGATCAGTTTACATTTCTGTGTTTGCATGTTCTCCCTGTGTTGGTGTGGGTTTCCATTGGGGACTCCGGTTTCCCCCACAAGTCCGAAGACATGCGATATAGGTGAATTGGATAAGCCAAGGGTAGGGGGTTGGGGGTGCGCGAACTGAGGAGCGGGTATGAAGATGGTTGCGCATTGGGTTCGGCTGATTGGTTTATTTGAGAATAAACCAATCAGAGTCTCATCTCAGTTGCATCGCTCGATGGCGCATTTGCTATTTACAAGACAAACTTTGTAAGTGGAAAAACCGAGCGCTTCACTAGAGAGAAAACAGTTAAACAGAGCATCTGCAGCGCGAGAATGAGAGATGAGCCTCCTCATTTTTGACTTTCACTTTCACTCTCGTGGATAGGGAAATGTGTTGGATGCATAGACATCCATTAGCCTATACATAATTAATTTCGTTTGTTAAGTGCAAAGATTTGTTTCAAAACTATTTCTAAATTTAGTTCTAATTTCCAGCAAACTAATAAATGAACAATAATAACGAAGTGTGCTCTAAAACCTGAGTTATTTCCAAATACACATGCTGTGCGCCATATGGTCTAAAACCTGACAGGTGGGCAAGTCTAAGCTTGTTTTTAATAAAACAAATATAAATATGCATATAATAAATAATACTGCTAATAATAATAACATTATACATATGCAAATTGTTATTAATAAACTGAAAAAGCCTCCTGAGATTAAGAAGGCATGGAGGCGGTGGTTTTTATATGTAGGCTAGATAATAATAATTTTTTAAATATTTTAATCCTATAATTATTTTTCATTTGTAAAGATATTTGCGTATTGCTGTACATCCTGTGTGTATTAAGCAATGTGTCAGCGAAGCGCACAAATAGTACACTCTGCGCTGGACTTAAGACCTGCTTTGTTCTGGTCTATTTTGCAGTCTATTATAGTTCCTCAAAACAGCAACGCCCCAACTATTTTTTCTAGACCAGAATGGGCGCACATTAATTTATTCATTTTCTTGTCGGCTTATTCTCTTTATTATTCCGGGGTCGCCACAGCGGAATGAACCGCTGATTTAGCCTACCCAATTCACCTGTACCGCATGTCTTTTCCACCCGGAGGAAACCCACGCCAAGACAGGGAAAACATGCAAACTCCACACAGAAACACCAACTGAGCTGAGGTTCGAACCAGCGACCCAGCGACCTTCTTGCTGTGAGGTGACAGCACTACCTACTGCGCCACTGCCTCGCCCATGGGCGCACATATTAGCGCATATGCATTTACTATTTAAACAGTGTGGTGCAAACGTCAAAACAACTCTTGCGCTGAACTGAAACTACTAAACGACATTTGTGTTTCGCCTTGCGCCTCATTGCGCAGGGTGTATGATAAGGCCCTATGTGTTTTAACTTCCCTGCATCATGTTTGGTGTGAAAAGACTTGACTGATTTAGTCAGAATCTTGGTTATGTAACAATAATATTATTAAGTCTCATCATAAGTTGAAACATGACAAAGTTTCATTTGCCGCCTACTATAATACAAGACATACATTGCTTAGTACTCCTTGAGTGGACACACTTATCTTCAAAGTTAATTTATTTAGGAGCAAAAAGCTTCACAGAGGGTGTTTAGTGAGTCTTTGTGAGGAAAGTAATTGGCACATTTGTCTTCCTCTGGTCAGATGCCAAACTTCACTGTCTGGAACATGTTGGATGTTCACTTCATAAGTCCTTTCTAATCTCTCAGCTTTAGGAGCCACATATTTAATAATTTTGCTGTCTTGCAAAGTCAGACATTTAATTAAGTGGTTTACAGTCTGTGCCACATTGCAGCTTATTATGAATTAAATCATAAAAACAATTGTCTGACTGATTCTGAGTCTGATGCAAATTACTTTTTAATAATTTTCCTTCAGCTTAGTCCCTTTATTAATCAGGGGTCACCACAGGGAAATGAATCACCAACTTATCCAGCATGTTTTACACAGCCGATGCCCTTCCCAGTATTGGGAAACCCATACACTCACATTCAAACACACACTCATACACTACAGCCAATTTAGTTTATTCAGTTCATCTATAGAACATGTGTTTGGACTGTGGGGGAAACCAGAGCACCCAGAGGAAACCCACACCATGGGGAGAACATGCAGAACTCCATGCAGAAACGGCAACCTGGCCCAGTCGGCACTTGAACCAGCGACTTTCTTGCTGTGAGGCAACAGTGCTAACCACTGAGCCAACATTTCGCCCTGCAAGTTACTTAAAAGTAATTAATTACTAATTACATCCTTAAAATTGTATTTACAGTAAATTACTTCTAATACTTTCTAATATAGTTACTCAGCAAGTAATTTGATTAGTCTGCTAAATATTACATGCCCATATGCCCATAAATCTCAAGGCATAGACAATAGAAATTAAAGTGTTTAAATCATATTTTTTTGAGACAAACAGGATCTTTGTCTTTTTAATTTTAACACTAACATTAAAATAAACTAACAAAAGACCAAAACACAAAAATTTTAATTTATTGGCACCATTTTTATAGAAACTCATGCATACTTTTCAGCGAATTATAGTAACTAATTACACTGAAAGCTGGTCTGAAGCATGTTATTCAGTTAAAAGACACAATATTTTCCATCATACTGTATAATACTATCATAATTCTCTATTTATTTCTTATTTTATTTAGAATACTTCACATAAGCAGGTTAATTTGAACGGATTCTTCCCCTTAACAGTGCACATGTCAAAGTCTCTTGATTTCATTGTCAAGCATGTGGATGGATCTTACCAAAGCTTCATGGTGGCAGCCTGGCCACTGGCTAATGTTAGTAGTGATAAAAGGACACATACACTATTCGGTACCTGGAAGCCAAGCAGTGACGTGCTACAACCATCAGGTTCTGACATCTGATAGCCAGGACGAGGCTGAGGAGCTTTACCTGAAACAAATACAAAAAAAAAAAAAAAATAGAATATGTTATGGTATTATTAAAAGAATCTTTTAATGACTTTTTATTTGATTTGATTAAACTTCATTATTATTGTTTCGCAAATGTGTATAAAAGCAGACTGCATGCATTGGTACTTGATCACATGTGATGGCATTAGGAGGGGTGTCCTAAAACTTTTGGAAAGATGTATTTTGGATTATTAGCCCCCCTGTATATTTCTTTCTCCAATTTTTGTTTAATGGAGAGCAGATTTTTTTTTCAACACATTTTTGAACATAATAGCCCTAATAACTCGTCTCTACAACTGATTTATTTTATCTCTGCCATGATGACAGTAAACAATATTTAACTAGATATTTTTAAAGATACTAATATTCAGCTTAAAGTGATATTTAAAGACCTAACTAGGTTAATTAGGCAAGTCAGGTTAATTAGAAAAGTTATTGTGCAGGCATTAAAAAAAAAAAAAAAAAAAAAAAAAAAAAAAAAAATATATATATATATATATATATATATATATATATATATATATATATATATATACATATATATATATATATATATATACATATATATATATATATATATATACATATATATATATATATACATATACATATGATTTCATGGATGAGACTTCCAGTGTGTCAGCAGTGTTCAGCCTCGAATTCCCCGCCAAGAGCACCCCTCAGGCAGACACTCATTCTGGAATGCGATGCTTGTCTCTGTAGGTTTTAAAAGTGGGGGTATCATGCTCATTTTGCCATTCTCATAGTAATCTTGAGTACTTTAGTAGTACTGCATCCATCTTTTCTCAGAAAAGGCCCATGGCACGCCTTCAGGTGCTCTGCTTTTTCCAGAGAAAATCTGAAAACTGTACCTTTCTACTGTGTCAACAGTGCACAGAGCAGCTTCAACCTACAACCGGTGATGTCATTGTACATAAAACGGGAAAACGTTGTAATCTCAACTGTTTGTTTGGTGGTTCAGTGGTTAGCACTGTCACTTCACAGCAAGAATGTTGCTGGTTTGAGTCCTGACTGGACCAGTTGGCATTTCTGTGTGGAGCTTGCATGTTCTCCCCGTGTTGGTGTGGGTTTCCCCCACAGTCCAAAAACATGCACTATATGTCAATTGAATAAACTAAATTGGCCTTAGTTTATGAGTGTGAATGATTGTTTATGGATGTTTCCCAGTACTGGGTTGCAGCTGGGAGAGCATCAGCTCTCGACCCCAGATGAATAAAGGCACTAAGCCGAAGGAAAATGAATGAATGAATGAATGAATTTTAATCTACCTATTAAGGCTTGTATCTGTCATATGACATATCTGTCTAACTTGAAAGGGTACCTATGTTACCCCTTTTACAAGATGTAAAATAATGCTTTGGTATCTCCAGAATGTGTCCGTAAAGTTTCAGCTTAAAATACCCATCAGATCATTTATTATTTATGCAGGAAATTCCTATTTTAGTGTAAGCACAGTATGGCTGTTTTTGTAGCCTGTGGCTTTAAATGCAATTGAGCTTGATCTCCCCGCCCACCATTCTCATCTGTGTCTGCTTCTCATCATGCCTTAGGTCAGATAAACAGCAGTCAGTGATACAGACAGACATGGATGAAGCTGAAATACAGCTCATTGGTCAAAAATGCCAAGTATGTTTATTTGATGTATTTGTTGTGGAGTTTTTTCAAGCCTTTCTGAAACGATGAGTCACACTAATGTCGTTTGCAGCACACACATATGCGGCTGCGGTGGTTATAGCGGTTAAGAATTACACAGTGATTTTACTTTCTTTATTACAAACATGTTCTGTTTTAAAAACGTTTAAAACTAATAACACTAATTTTTAAGGTGCAGCTGATCACAGAGAGTTCAAACAGATCTTCCAGTTTCATTGCAAAAAAATGATCTGTGTACATGTGTAAACATGTTATTACAGAGACTTGGCACCTGTCAATCAATTTGGTAAGTGTGGAAAACTGCAGTCCTTCATCACGTTGCTGTGGCATCAAAATGACTGGGATTTGAGTCCTATTTTAACGTCAGAAAATTTCTTGTGTTTTTATCTCTCCAAAATGTCAGTGGACACACTATACCTACACACAGTTCAGTTCTAACAGCTTCCAAAAGTTGATTTTGCGTCATAGGTCCCCTTTAAAAGTAAAAGTATAAGTTTCACTTACCATATCTGCAGCGGTACTGACATACACCATCACGGCCTCCCATCAACTCCAGTATTGAGTCAAAATAGCCATTGACTGACTGTAAACTTCCTCGGATAGAGCCGAACCCCCAGTCATCATCGTCCTCAGATTCTTCTGTGGCACTCGGTGCAGGTTTTCCCTCAACAGGGGCATCTGCCATTAAAACATGCTCTGCCTGATTCTCCTGATTAACATCTGGGCTTTCATCAGCAGGCGAATCTACTGAGGCCGCATCTACTGAAGCCTGGATAAGAGTCGCAGCCAAGCCTGCAGAGATACACAGCAGGAGCAGGGGTAGTGCGCGAGGAAACATGATGTCCTATTACAGTACAGTCCAGGGAGACCTACGAAGTTGAAGGGCTCGAAGGAAAAAGAGTGAGCAGCAGAAAAAAACAGACAGTGTTGATAGTGCCTCGTGGAAGGGACTTTGACCTGTGATTAGATCAAGCAGACAGCAAAGCATTGATTGGGGCTTAGGTTAAAGGTAAGGTCCAATCTCTTGCTGAGGCTGCTCTCTCGGTGAATCACAGTTAAACACACTCCTCTAGTGTAATTCAATCTTGGCTTTCTTTATCTCCAGTTCACACTAAGAAGATGGTCTCCTCTCACAGATTAAATTATCTGTCAAACTAGCTGGCTTGTTACAACTGTTTTCGGCTTTAGCATGCTGTTGGTAATCTAAAAAGCTAGTCATGCTAGGCTATTTAGTCATGTGAAGTAGCATGGAGATAGCAAGTATGAAGTAATACTGGGTTACAAGGCTTTGATAAGATTTATGGATCAATGATGGCTGATTTGTTACAGCTATTGGCAGTGGTGGAATGAGTAAAGAAAGATCATACCCTAATAAAAGTACCATTACTTGCCCAGAAATGTAATGCAATTAGAGTAAATGTATCTATTGTAATTATTACTCAAAGCATGAGTGAAAAGTAGACCTTTCAAAAGTACCCAAGAGTAATGAGTAGTGAATATTATGCTGGGAAAGCTTCTACCTGCGTCTACATGTAATTTGTGCTTGTGTGTGTGTGTGTGTGTGTGTGTGTGTGTGTGTGTGTGTGTGTGTGTGTGTGTGTGTGTGTGTGTGTGTGTAAACGTAACATTCTCTAGTGCATTTAGTTATTGTTTAAGGCTATTTCAGTCATCCTACAATAAACATTCGCCATCTTCTCATCAGGGATATTCAATCTAAACAGTCTCTGAGTCGTGTATATTTTCTTGGACACTTTTAATGCTTCCAAAGAGTTTGCTGCATGTCTTGAGGTTGTTCATTATGATGTGATTTACCTTTTTCGTGCGATTTAATCAGACAGGAATCACAGGACTGGTTTTTCTAATCCCCTTAGACAGGGAAAAAATAAAGTAGTGACTGCTGGTTGAAGGATAGTGGAGTAAAAGTACAGATACAGCACTAAAAATTTAAAAGGGAAAGTAAAAGTACACATCTTTAATAAATACAAATTCCTAAGAAAAACCTGTACGCATTTGTAATTTGTTACTTTACACCACTGGTTGTTGGTAAAGTATTTGTACAGCTGACTTGAATACAAAGTGTTCATTTAAATATATTTTCTAATGTATTTTGGAAAGCCTGATGTAAAACAACACAAGTGTGATAGTGTGTTATTTTTAGTTCTGTACACTTGGTTAGTCTGAAGAATCAGCAAGGGTTTGGTGGATGTTTTTTTGTAAGCTATTTTTGGTTTCACCTTAAGCCGTGTTGTACTGTATAATATTAATGCTGGCGTAGTTAACCAACATATCGTTAATGACTTTAAATATTCTAATTAATCCTTCATCTGTACAAGTATTAGACTGATTATTAGTATCAGTCTTTAAATGTTCAGTTGCTCACTTAGTTTCTTATCACATGAACCGCATGACGCTGATTTTAATTGTGCACAAGGAACATGTTCAGATTGTATTCTGGAAAGGACATTACCTTGTAAAGATTTACTTGTATTATGTGTTGTCATAAGAAATGTCATTATTTGTCACTAGATGGCAGTGAAAAGTTTTTTTTTTTTTTTGTTGAGTTCCAAATGAACCCAGACTCATTATTGTTACATCCACTATAAACATTTCTGGAGATTGCGAAATATGTCCCAGGAGCTATGTTTTTTTTTTGTTTTTTATTTATTTATTTTATTTTTTGCAGTTTTTGTTATTCCAAATCTCCCAGAGGCCGCTGTGCACGCTTTTTCAGATCTCAGATTTCTCCCGCGAGTGCCATTCACACCTGCTATTCTCATGTAAATCCACCAGGGGTCGCTGTCGAGTGACTGACTGACCGATCACTCTCCTGTTATTTACTTGTTTGCTTTATTTTTTGGCTTTTGATTTTGTCTTACCTGTTTTCTGGAACAGCTCTTTGCCGGAATCAAATCCCATTGTTGCGGTCAACTTATCTCTGCAATATCTCTACATGGTGAGCCACTGGGCAAATTGGTAACGGAAAAAGCCGTCCACATGGAGGTAAGTGGTCAGTTGGTAACGTGAAAAGTACCAGAAGCCATCAGCGGTGTCATACCGCCTCGTATCGTTCATTTTAAAGACGAAATGCAGCCGTATGTAGCTCTGGCTACATAATTTGTTCTTTCCAGAAATGTATACAGGGCTACATTTTTGCAATGAGCCTGTGTTGTTCAAAACAAATGTCAGTGTTGTGGAGGTTGTGTTTTAACTGTAAGGCAGTTGTACTGACCCTAACTAAAGGTGACTATGACAAAGAACCCAAACTTTATCAAGCAATACAAAGAAAATAACAACAACAATTTAGGGAGAAAACAGGATTAGATGGGGGAATAAGCTACAATTCAGACAGTGGTATCTTATCAGTGGCCTTCAGCAAAGTGTCCTTCTTGGCGGAGGTGTAAAGTCCTAGCTGGACTTGGGATAATGTGTTCAAACGTTACCATAGGAGTTGTGTATTTGGACATTTCTCAATATCAAGAGCTGCTATGATTCATGCGTTACCAATCAACTTCTGAATACACGGATAATCATGTGTTATGTTGTTATCTCAGATGAACAGACCTTAGAATGTCATAACTGACCAATCAGTAAACTAATAATCTTAGATAACAACTGCTAAAACTAATAACAATAAAGGCTCAGCGGGGTATTTCAACTCATTTTAGGTTCATATGTTTATTACATGCTTATCTGTCACACCACTGTTTGTGTTTGGCGCCATCTTGTGACTGAAAAATATGTAGGTTAGGTTCGTTTTTTCTTTCTGCAAGCTTTACTTTTAATAAAAAGTTAATTATTACAGCACAGATTGATGTTTTGTGTGTAATTGTTGCTTTAGGGGCAAGCAGCTTTGTAATAAGCAGACTAATGTACATGGAGGTAGCTGTTTTCGCAAAATAAAGCACTATTATATCACCTGTCAGGCATTCTGGAAAAATTGCCAATAACTGTAGGGCACAGTAGATGTAGAGTCATTGACCCTTGTATCAACAGATTATCCCATACCTGTCAACATTGGGATGTGAAAATAAGGGACACCCCCCCCCCCCCTTAATAATTTCCCCAAATTACTAAATATGTTCCCCAAATTACTAAATATAGAAAATAAAAACACCAAGATTGACATGTTTAAATGTTATTATTATTATTTTTTGAAAGTCCAAGATCAACGTTAGTGAATTGATATATTTGATAGTCCAGCATTAACATTAGTGATTTTATATATTTATGGTCCAGGATCAATATTTGTGAATTAATACGACTGATGGTCCAGAATCAACATTAGTGAATTCTTTATATTGATGGTCCAGGATCAGCATTAGTGAAATTTTAAATTGATGGTCCAGGATCAACATTAGTGAATTGAAATATTGATGGTCCAGGATCAACATTAGTGAATTTTTATATTGATGGTCCAGGATCAACATTAGTGAATTTATATATTGATGGTCCAGGATCAACATTAGTGAATTCATATATTGATGGTCCAGGATCAACATTAGTGAATTTTTATATTGATGGTCCAGGATCAACATTAGTGAATTTATATTTTGATGATCCAGGATCAACATTAGTGAATTTATATATTGATGGTCCAGGATCAACATTAGTGAATTTTTATATTGATGGTCCAGGATCAACATTAGTGAATTTATATATTGATGGACCAGGATCAACATTAGTGAATTTTTATATTGATGGTCCAGGATCAACATTAGTGAATTTATATATTGATGGTCCAGGATCAACATTAGTGAATTCATATTTTGATGGTCCAGGATCAACATTAGTGAATTTATTTAGTGATGGTCCAGGATCAACATTAGTGAATTTTTAAATTGATGGTCCAGGATCAATATTAGTGAATTTTTATATTGATGGTCCAGGATCAACATTAGTGAATTTATATATTGATGGTCCAGGATCAACATTAGTGAATTTATATATTGATGGTCCAGGATCAACATTAGTGAATTTATATATTGATGATCCAGGATCAACATTAGTGAATTCATATATTGATGGTCCAGGATCAACATTAGTGAATTTATTTAGTGATGGTCCAGGATCAACATTATTGAATTGAAATATTGATGGTCCAGGATCAACATTAGTGAATTTTTATATTGATGGTCCAGGATCAACATTAGTGAATTTATATATTGATGGTCCAGGATCATCATTAGTGA